GGGGGGCACCGGGTGGGTCTGGGGGCACCGGGTGGGTCTGGGGGCTTCACTGGGGTCGGTAAAAGGGGGGAGGGGTCCAGGAGGGTTCCCAGAGGGATCCGGGCGTTTGGAAATGGGGGGGATGGCGGGATTGGGATTTTGGGTGGGAATTGGGGATTTTGGGTGGGATTGGGGATTTTGGGTGGGAATTGGGGATTTTGGGTGGGAATTGGGGATTTTGGGTGGGAATTGGGGATTTTGGGTGGGAATTTTGGGATTTTGGGTGGGAATTGGGGGATTTTGGGTGGGAATTGGGGATTTTGGGTGGGAATTGGGGATTTTGGGCGGGATTGGGGATTTTGGGTGTAAATTTGGGGATTTTGGGTGTATTCGGGTGGGAATTTCGAGACCGGGGGTGTCCCCTTGATGTCCCCTCTCTGTCCCCAATGTCCCCTCGCTGTCCCCAGGCGGTGGCGCTGGGCTGGCACGGGCTGCTGGCTGTCATGGGGCGGGATTTGGGTGTAAATTTGGGGATTTTGGGTGTAAATTTGGGGATTTTGGGTGTATTTGGGTGGGAATTTCGGGAGCGGGGGTGTCCCCTCTCTGTCCCCAATGTCCCCAATGTCCCCTCGCTGTCCGCAGGCGGTGGCGCTGGGCTGGCGCGGGCTGCTGGCTGTGATGGGGCGGGATTTGGGTGTAAATTTGGGAATTTTGGGTGTAAATTTGGGGATTTTGGGTGTATTCGGGTGGGAATTTCGAGACCGGGGGTGTCCCCTCTCTGTCCCCAATGTCCCCAATGTCCCCAGGCAGTGGCGCTGGGCCGGCGCGGGCTGCTGGCTGTCATGGGGCGGGATTTGGGTGTAAATTTGGGGATTTTGGGTGTATTTGGGTGGGAATTTCGGGAGCGGGGGTGTCCCCTCTCTGTCCCCTCTCTGTCCCCAATGTCCCCTCGCTGTCCGCAGGCGGTGGCGCTGGGCCGGCGCGGGCTGCTGGCGCTGGTGGCGCGGGGGCTGCGGGCGCTGCGCTGGCGCTCGCTGGTGCTGCCGCGGGACCTGCGGCACCGCGGGGTGGCGGCCACCGAGCGCCACCACTTCGGCCGCGACGCCACCGAGGTGTGGCGGGCCATCCGCAGGTGGGGACAGCGGGGACGCGCCGCGCCACCCGTGTCCCCCCGGTGTCCCCCCGGTGTCACCTTGGTGTCCTCAGTGTCCTCAGTGTCACCTCGGTGTCACCTCGGTGTCCTCAGTGTCCTCAATGTCCTCAGTGCCACCCTCGGTGTTCCTTCAATGTTCTCAGTGTCACCTCGGTGTCACCTCGGTGTTCTCAGTGTCCCCTCAGTGTCACCTCAGTGTCCTCAGTGCCACCCTCAGTGTCCCCTCAGTGTCCTCAGTGTCCTCAGTGTCACCTCGGTGTCCTCAGTGCCACCCTCAGTGTCCTCAGTGCCACCCTCAGTGTCTCCTCAATGTCCTCAGTGTCCTCAGTGCCACCGTCAGTGTCCTCAATGTCCTCAGTGCCACCCTCAGTGTTCCTTCAATGTCCTCAGTGTCCCCTCGGTGTCCCCCTGGTGTCCCCCCAGTGTCCCCTCGGTGTCACCTCGGTGTCCTCAGTGCCACCTTCAGTGTCCCCTCAATGTCCTCAGTGTCCCCTCGGTGTCACCTCAATGTTCTCAGTGTCCTCAGTGCCACCCTCATTGTCTCCTCAATGTCCTCAGTGTCCCCTCAATGTCCTCAGTGTCCCCTCAATGTCCTCAGTGTCCCCTCGGTGTCCCCTCAGTGTCCCCAGATTTGTCATGGGGGTGGTGGCCCTGTTGTACCCCTGTGTCCCTCAAATGTCCCCAACCTCCTACGTCCCCAAAGTCCCAGGTTCGTGTCCCCTCTCCTGTCCCTCTATTACCCCGTTGATGTCCCCAGTGTCCCCACTGTCCCCAGTGTCCCCAGTGTCCCCAATCCCCCCAATGTCCCCAATGTCCCCTCGCTGTCCCAGGTTTGTCACCTCCGTGCTGTCCCTGATGTCCCCAGGTTTGTCACCTCGGTGCTGTCCCTCTATTACCCCATTGATGTCCCCAATGTCCCCATTGATGTCCCCAATGTCCCCAATGTCCCCGTTGATGTCCCCACTGTCCCCTCAATGTCCCCACTGTCCCAGGTTTGTCACCTCGGTGCTGTCCCTGATGTCCCCAGGTTTGTCCCCACAATGTCCCCTCAATGTCCCCACTGTCGCAGGTTTGTCACCTCGGTGCTGTCCCTCTATTACCCCATTGATGTCCCCACTGTCCCCAATGTCCCCGTTGATGTCCCCGTTGATGTCCCCACTGTCCCAGGTTTGTCACCTCGGTGCTGTCCCTCTATTACCCCGTTGATGTCCCCACTGTCCCCTCAATGTCCCCACTGTCCCAGGTTTGTCCCCACAATGTCCCCTCAATGTCCCCACTGTCCCAGGTTTGTCACCTCGGTGCTGTCCCTCTATTACCCCATTGATGTCCCCAATGTCCCCAATGTCCCCAATGTCCCCACTGTCGCAGGTTTGTCACCTCGCTGCTGTCCCTCTATTACCCCGTTGATGTCCCCAATGTCCCCGTTGATGTCCCCACTGTCCCAGGTTTGTCCCCTCAATGTCCCCACTGTCCCAGGTTTGTCACCTCGCTGCTGTCCCTCTATTACCCCATTGATGTCCCCATTGATGTCCCCACTGTCCCCACTGTCCCAGGTTTGTCACCTCGCTGCTGTCCCTCTATTACCCGTCCGACGGCTCCGTCCAGCAGGACCCGGAGCTCCAGGCCTGGGTGGGAGAAATCTTCAGGAGAGGATTCCTGGCCCGGCGGCGCTCAGGTGGGCAC